ACGTTTGTGTATATTCTTCTGGCCCGTGGCCACGTCGAGGGTCTCAACATGTTTGAAATGAGTCGCGTCGGCGGCATTGTCTGGGTCGGTCGACCATTAATCGCGGTCCGGAGTATCACGGCTCTCTGTCTTCTCTCAACCGCCTCGATTGGGCTCCAAACTGACGGTGTCTTCAGCTACTTTGTCACGACACCCGTCCCGCTCTGGACGACGTGTCTTGCAGCGAATGAAGTCACGTGGCTTGTCGGTATCGTCAACGACATCTCGCTCGTCTGGACGCAAGACCACACGATCGCGTACGCCACCATCAACAGTCTGCTCATGTGGCTCATCTCGGCGCTGTTGGCGACACTGGCGCCGGTCCAGGCCACGATCACAGTATCTCCAGTCTGTGAGATTGCAACATTGGACTACCAAGTGGTCTGTGTGGCAGGAAGCGTCGTGATTGGGTCAGTACAACGACTACTGATGCTGGTGGGGATCGTACTAGTCTGCAACGGCGTCTGCTTTGGTCTGGTGCGCTGTTTTTGGAAACGTCCGCAACCACTTCAGAGCTCGTCGATGCTGCTCTGTGGCGGGGCCAAGTACCTCTTCAGTCACGACGGCTGGCTGGATGGGGATGGAACGTACTTTTTGGACCGTGCGTCGGCGGTTCTCAATGGGCTGCTGAGTGTCCGGTATCAAGATCAGTGGATCGTCTTTGACGTCAAGACGTGGTGCGTCCACAAGCTCGAGGCCCCGAGTCATCGTCGGGCGCATGCTTACGAAGCGAGACGAGACACATCTAGTCGTTTCGCCATGGCATTACCACTTGAGGATCGCTAGTGTAAAGTTGTTGCTAAGACCCTTTGTAAAATTATTGCAGTGAAGAACCTCGGTTCCCGGTAGAGCTACATCATGAGCTGCACTAACATGGATAAAGTGTATAGCAACAATGCCAAAAACATATGATTTTGACACTTATTTCCCACGACGGCGACGCCCGTATGGTGGTGCGTCGAGTACGCAACGTCTTCATCCAGCGGTATCGTTGCGATCGTCGGGGAGCAGCTGACAACGACAACCGACGTTTTCGAGGCTTTGTTCGATTGCAGTGCTGTTGGTGAAGCGCACTTGAAGTGGGCGCGTAGGCTTGCTTCATTGAAAATTTATAACTTCTGAAAGGAATCAAACACTGCCGATCAATTGCCAAAGGGTCGGGTTTCGCATACTATTGCCTCGGGCGCTCTAGGGCGCGAGATCGGCGCTGTGTCGCTGCTGCAGAGACAGCCAGCCGTTGCCAACGGAGGTCCTACTCGGGGTATCCCAAAGAGCCCTCCGCACACAAGCCACTGGACTGCATAGGCAGATGCATTCCGGGCGCCGACTGCCAACGAGAGATCGTAGCCGCCGCAACCGTGGTGCTGCTTCGTGTGGCTCCAATTAGTGCGTTCTCTGCGTCGACTACACGTCCTCATTGCTTCATACACATTGCATTGCGCTTAACATGAAGTATAACCTTTTTACTTTTACGTAGAGGACACACATGCACGCCTTCATCGCATCGGTCGGGTCGAGCATCGAGCAACATGTCGTACATCGGACAGTAGCACCCGCCGCCGTTCTTGCTGTAGTAGCTGTCACGGTGAGGAGCAGCCGTCCTTGGGCAGGCACGCTGCCGCGTAGTGTCGCGGCGGGATCGTTGGCGACTAAAGCAACATGAAGGTGAACGAGGCGGCGGTGTGGAAGACGAGCCGATCGCGCCGCCGACGAGCCAACGACCTCGAGGACTAGGCGCGCGGACCGAAGACGAGGCAGCCGTGTGACGAGCCAGCTAGCTAGTAGGAACTTGGGCCAAACAGCTTGGTTTCAGTATGATGCATACAAACTCCGAATCAACCGTCGCGGTGTCCGATGCCGCGCGCGACGCTGTCCTCGCCCCCACGACGTGAGAAGACGCGTACGTCCCTCGCTTGCATCAGCCAATGAGCTCTCGCCTCGTCTCACCGACGCGACCACCACGTCGACGCTGCGCTGCGGATTGGCTGCTTGGGACCATTTCCACCCTTTTTGTTCAATGGACGCACGCCCTATTGTAGCAACTGCATTCTCGTTTGGCGGCACCTAGAATCTAGCACTCATGGGGTCAAAAGATATGATGCGACGCATGCTGCCGCAAACTCGTGCATGACTTCGTGTGTAAAACTAGAATCGATGCAAGACAAAGACTTGCATGTTAGAGGGGAGGAAGCGAAGCATCGTGATAACCTGAGCAGCGCATTAGGAGCATACGGGGTCGCTGGACCACGTGGTCGTGTGCACGGTTGCCAACTGCGCTCCACTGGCGCCGTACATCGCCCGAAACGTCGCCACGACGTGCCGCCAGTGCTTGTGGAGGTGCACCTTGAGATCTGATCGAATGAAGTCACCAGGCTGCAGCCACCAAAAACCAATCAGATCGCTGGTTGCCACTATGATTCCAGAGATTTGGCAGCCTCGCCCGAAGATGTTGTTGTCTCTGGTCATCGCTCTCGCTATATTTGTTTGACCGCGAGAGGAAGAGACTATCCAAAGTGCGACCGTATAAAGTTGCGCAAGTACATGGAGGATACCTCTATTTGGGGTTTGGACTGCCACCGTTACTTTGAAACCCCAGCAATGCGAGTCCAGCGAGTCCAGCCGACGGTGTCCGCCAACCCACGTGGTCGATGGCATTGGTCGTCGCTGCTGCTCGGTAGCCTCTGGCTCAGCGCCACGCTGGCTGCAAGTGTCTGCTACCTACGGCTGCTGCAGCCGCCGCTCGCCAACGACCTTCTTTGGCCGTACTACAACGCATCTGGGTACCAAACCTTCCTCATCGATCTACTGAATACGCTATTGGAGACGACGCCGGATACCTCCTCAGTCGACTTGCAGTCTGTGGCGCTCGAGGGACACTACGACAGTCTCTTGACCAGCGCTATTGTGCACCCGACGTACGCGATGGCGCTGCTCACGACCAAGCTCACAGCGCTCGAGTTTGCCATCACTAGTCTGCGCAACTTGTCGGAGAATGCCCAGCTGTTTCAACTGCCAACGCAGTACTGCTGGGTCGACTTTAACCAATCGTTCGAGCTCGCCCACACGGACGCGCGTCAAGCGCGCTGTCATCGTCAGTACGCCGCGAACGGCGCAGTGTACCTCGAGTCTCTCTTGCGCAACACCAACTGGAAAGCGGCTGTCGCCGCATCTGCGACCTCGACCAATTTCTGGTTTGCCATTGAGAGCGGCCTCGAAGCCTCAGCGATGGGCGCTCGCTGGCTCGACGCTGTCGCTGCCGTGACCACCTCGGTCCAGGACGAAGCCACTGTCTGGCGATCGCATGGTATTGACAGCTATTCGTATCAGTGGCAAAACATCAAGCGGCCGGGACTCGTCGAGACGGCGACGCTGGTCAATGCTCTTGGCCTCCAGACTTCAGTTGTGCTCAAGAGTGTTGTCAGAACCAATGGGCCGTGGGTGATGTCGCTCTTCAGTCCCTCACTTCTCGATGATATTCGCCTTGTCAGTGGCTGCAACGCGAGTCTTCTTCGTGGCGCGCCACACTACGTCCTCAACACATTGTGCGACGGCCGCGTACCCGTCTCGTTCGAGTCGTTTCTCGAGTCGCTTCTCCAAATGAGTCCGTTCTTCCGCCCGATTGGTATGATTCGCGACGCCCTTGGGCCACTCCTTTCAAGCGATCTCTACGTCGTGCCCATACCTGAGTCTCTCATTTCTCTGAGAGCCGACCGTGTCACCGCGCTGTACGGCGCCTGGAACGCATCGACCGCAGACATGTACTCGACTCTCGAGACGGACTTGCGCGTGACGCTAGTGCCGCCCGCGTGGTCGACGGACCTCGTATTTTACGGCGGGAGTCCTTTTTGCCTGTATGGCGCACCACAGACGTATGTGCAACCGCCGTTTACATCGACCGACGACTGCTCCACGCAGTCCGAATGGACGGTGGCGATACCGCGGCCATCTCTTGTCATCGCGATGTCTTTGGTCCACGACTCGATCGACGCGATTTGCGCGCAGCAGTCGCGCCGAGTCTGTCCCGAGACGCTACTCGCCGCGCAAAAGCTCTTGCCGCACCGACAGATCGACCCGGTTTTGCTTCAGAACGCAACCACAGCCGTGGCGTCGCTCAACATTAGTCTTATGCAGTTTGCCTCGGATCCAGCTCAAACCGACGTTCGAATGCTAGTACAGCCACTACTCGAGCCACCTTTCACCTTTTACGGATGGGTGCTTCTCTTGGATTGGGTCGCTGGCGTTCGTGAAGTCGTCTCGTATGAAGGCGACAACGGAACGCTTGTCTTGATCTCGGACGCCTACGACATATCGTCGACAACTCCCAACAGCGCGACGCTCGGGACGTCGTCGATTGGGCTCTACTACCTCATCTTGTACTCGGCCTGTGTGCTTGGCGC